CTGCTGAATGCTGACACAAAATTGTATGCCAAATTACTAGCCTCACGCATCCAACCCATTCTACAGGATTTGGTCTCTCTGGAACAGGCAGGCTTCGTCCCGAACAGACAACCTGGGGACAATACGCGCCATTTTTTAAACTTAACTACCTGGGCCCAAAATACTAATCAGAAGGGCTTACTATTAGCCCTAGACGCGGAAAAAGCGTTTGATCGCTTGAATTGGACATACATGAGATCTGTACTGACTTACATGGGCTTCCCTCTAGAATTCCTGAAAGGCATAATGGTCTTATACTCCAAGCCGTCAGCCAAAATATTCAACTCCGGATTCCTATCACAACCTTTTCATATAACAAATGGTACTAGACAAGGGTGTCCGCTCTCTCCTCTAATCTTTATTCTCTGTATGGAACCCCTAATCAGACATATTAAATCTGACCACAATATTACGGGCCTATCAACGCCTATAGGAGAGCAAAAAATAGCCCTTTTCGCAGATGATGTTCTCCTTTTTATAACACACCCTGAGACATCACTACCATCCTTGCTAACACTACTAGGAAGATACGGTAAGGTGTCTTACTACAAGAATAACGCCAAAAAAACACAAGCGTTGGCATTGGGGTTGCCCCATACCCTCCTCTCACACCTTAAAACACTGTACCCGTTTGACTGGAGGAAATCCTCCATCTCATATCTGGGCATAAAACTGCCAATTTCACACACATTGACAATAAAGGAAAACCATACGCCACTCTTACATAAACTAGATCAACAGCTCCGATCCTGGGAGGACAAGGAAATCTCCTGGCTTGGGCGCATTCATACCATTAAAATGATGATTTTACCACACATTCTATATCTCTTTCGCACCCTGCCTATTACAATCCCGAACCCGATATTGAGGAACTTTCAGGCCAAGATCAATGCACACATTTGGAAGCGTAAGCCCCCACGAATAACACAAAACTCTCTTTGGCGTTCATTCACCAAAGGCGGGCTGGGCGTACCCAACATTAAATTATACCACAAAGCTTCATTAATGGCACAGGGTCTCACGATCCTTGAAAGGAAGTCCCCTCCGGTGTGGCTGGCGTTGGAAAACGCTTGTCTGCCCACTGGCACGATTCCAATGTTCCTCTGGGCTAGCTCAATACCATTACAATCAAAAAATCTGCTCCCAACCACGGGGATAATGCTCCGGACTTGGAGACAAACTATTCCTCTATTCCTCAAGGAGAATGACCTACTCCTTGAGGCCCCACTTCAAGCCTTGGCCACCCGCACGACGAACCTACAGCTAGAAAACTGGCTTAACCGGGGGATCTCAGGGGTACGTTCCTTGCTAACCCAAGAGGGCGTCAAACCATTCCCCGAAATTGTTAGGGAATTTAATATCCCAGCCAGGGAACTATTCACCTATTTGAGGCTAAAGAATATTATTCAGGAAAGCCGGATTACCATGAAAGAATATAACCTCATACCACCATTTGTCCATAAGTGTAAGGGGAAACTTCCCAAGGTTAAAGCACTATCCCTCTGCTACAATACACTTCTTACCCAATATACGGCAACAAAACCTTCATACATGACAAACTGGGAACTGGACCTGGGAATACAATTCCCAGTAGCCACGTGGCATCAAGCTCAGAAGTTAACAAAGCAGGCCTCACACAGCCTCAACCAGTGGGAAACCTACTGTAAACTAACTATGCGTTGGTACCTGGTCCCCAAAAAATTGGCACACATATACCCTGATGCGAACAAACTCTGCTGGAGATGCCAAAATCAAGAGGGATCCCTATATCATATATTTTGGACATGTACACAGATCACATCATTATGGAAGGCTATTCACACACTTTTTTGTACGGATTTAGGGATCAAGGTCCCACTGACACCAGAAAGCTTTTTATTACACATTTTCCCAGACAAGCTTCACGAAGAGGAAAGCTATTTAACGGTCCATTGCCTAATGGCAACTAAAACTGCGATTGCCCAAAAGTGGAAATCCACACAGGTGCCCACGCTATCAGAAATTCTGGGCAGATTAGATTCGATATATAATTACGAACACATGGCAAGCCGTATCACTGAGAGACAGCGTAGACATGAAACAAGGTGGCGTAGATGGGTGGACTATAGATATGGAAAGACATGAAAGACGATGCGGCATTTTTGACACTTTACCAAGCTCCTCAGTAAAAAAGGGCTTCCCAAGCTAACACCGTGTAACAGCTTCTAACTGACCATTTTCCCTTTTGCCCTTCTCTTCAACACCAACACAATATAATAAATACTCTAAGCCATAGCACAACCTCGCTAATCCCCCACCACTCTTCCCTCCTGCCCCGGAGGCCCAAAAGTTAGGGCGGACAGATGCAAATTAGTGCCTTAGAATGTATCAGGCTAACTTGAATAGAACTGCCATTGTATATATGTATATGTATATAAGTATTATAGTCAGAAGCTGGTAAATTGTGCCTAATGACGAATATACAACTCTATGCATAGATGTTATTACTAATACTTTTTTGTATGGCTATGATACAATGTTTATGCATGTCGCCCTCCCTTTCCCTCCCCCCCCCTTTTTTCTCTCCGTGTACCCCTTCCCACGTTACCCATCTTTTGCATAACATGCATATTAAGTGAAAATCCGAAAATAAAATACATTTAAAAAAAAAAAAAGAATTAGAAAATATTCTAATGATACCCAAGGCTGACACGTTTCGTGCAATGATGAAATTGAAACAGGATATGTGGATGAGTTTGGACATACGATCTGATCGCTGCAGGGAGCATATTTGGGGTCAACATTCTTACTTTCTTGCTTAACACAATTTACTTTGTATAATGCCAAGGACATAAGAGTAGCATGTAAATTCTTCACACTGCCTAAACCCATTCACAATCTGACAACAGACTGTTACATGGTTGTCTCCTATTTATACAGGAGAATACATATTCCCCAAGGATAATAAGACCTATTCTCTAGAACACTTTATAAAGTCAGATATGGGATATGCATGTAGACACACATCTCATATCTATGAACCACGCTTGCTAAGTTCTGATATTAGTAAGTGTGTATGGAATGTTTATCCCAAAGACTATTTTTCCATGATAGAAATAGCACCTAGATTTGTGTGCCTGGCTACTATTGTGCCAGTAGGAATAGCTAAAATAGATCTCAGTCTTCCTTTTGCTGGTTGTATACGAAATGTAACTTGGCTTATAATTAAAGGGATATCAGATTAGTTTCATGATATCCCTATTGTTAACAGGACAATTATACATGTACCGTTAGAATTACCATTTGACGATTATCAGTTACCATTACAAACTATTACACAACTCATGAAGGACAATAAGGAAATGTTCAAACATCTCAAAACACACAAGAAAGCTATTGACCACACAATGATAGCCACACATATATTACAAGGAACATTAGTAAAAGTCAGTTCACAAATAAAAGATGATTTCACGCATCATTGGTATGATATTCTCACAGTCGCCGAACAGTACACAGATTGTACAATCATTTTTATACCCCCTATTGATCATTATATTGATTTTATTATTTATGATTGTGTTTAACTGTTACCTTACTTGTATCCTAAAGAAAAGAATTCAGAATTTGATTAATAAAGTCAAAGATAAGCAACTAGATTGACTCCTTCGCGCTAAATCTTGGAATTCTGGTAATAGTCATGGGGAAATCGAGGTGAAGAAATAAAAGGTTTGATTGTCAAGCCTGAATATACTCCATGACTTTCTCCAGACATCTAAGTTATCAATAAATTGATACAAGAGGGGATTGAAGGGTTAATATAACACACACACAAGAAGTATACAGTTAAACAAAAAATGCTTACGCGTATATTTTATTTTAACCTGTTTTTAAGACAGGTTATTATGACATTTCGTGATGTTCCAGGAAAGTATCTGCTTATGCAGTTCTTTGTACTGATACAGATCAAATGTCAATGTTTGTCTATCCTTCAGGGGGAACTTTTGTTCTACTTCTTCTTTGTGGTATTTCATGTTTGCACGTAACTCTGTTCTATATAAGCAATGTATCTATCATTAAACAAGAACCTTGAACAGCTACCCTTTTCTCCGTGTCTCCTCCGTGCTTTCGGGCTTCTCCCTCAATATTGAAGACTGACAAGTGCCCTCCACGAGATTGACAGAAGACTATAGGTAAAACCAGATCCTTTCACCTTATAGGAAGCTTTCCTATGTCCTAGGCACAATCCCCTAATCATACACATATAGAAATCATCATTACCCACATCTTTAGGGAAGGGGCTTTCACCACCCTGTCCTTCTGTCCTTCTGTAGGTGGAATCCCACGAACGAGGGGATTCATACGAATGGTAACAGATGCCTGGATGCCTAAGCCATTCGGGACTTTGCGTTCACTAGAAAAAGACAGACCGCAGGGTCAGAATTCATGGAACTGTTTTCGGCTACTGACCCCCTGCGGTCGGTCAAATCTTTCAAGGCCTGTAACTCCCGAACCCCTGGTCCGATCTGGGTGAATTTTGAGTATGTTGCTAACCCAGATCAGACCTACCAGGGGACCCCTTATTTAACCCTCCATCCCCTGTTATACATATTATATTATACTGTTTGCAGTATTAGGACTGGACTTGGAACTGCTGGTTAATCAGTGGTGAAGGACAGCTGTCTTGGAATCAAGGTTCCGACAAGGTCTGCCACTTCTCCACGAGCTGGAGTGCTTAAAACCAGAAATTCCAATCACTTGACAACAATGATTATTCAGGGGATTGGGGCAGCTATTTGGAACGCAGAGGGTCCCACAAACTGTCCCCACTCCTCAAGCTTTATGCTTAAAATCAGAGGTGTCAAGGATACATAAGAATAGTACAGAAGCTGGGTGGGCGTGGCCTGGCACGCGATGTGAGCGGACGCAAGAGAAACTAGCTCCCCGACGACGGATCATTAATCTGGTTAAAAACCCCACAGACATAACCTAATGGGCAATAAAAAGAAATCAGGTGCCTCTCTGAACACCCCTGAACCCGGGAAAACAAGAGCTTCAAGCAACCCGGATAAATATTTCCGGGACACCGTCAAAGTGCTGGGAGAGAACATGGAGGACAGCCAAGGGGCGCCATCTTCCCCATGCAGCCAGCGAGCACGAAGCCCGGCTACATCCGAGCGATCTGGAGATACCAGCAGATCTGACCTTAAAGAAATCCTGCTCAATCTTCCCTCTAAGGACGACATAGCAGCCATGATGGCGAAACTTGAATCATCAGTGCAAGATAAGCTCACAACTCTGACGACAGACATCAGGCAAGTCAATAATAGAGTGGGGGACTTAGAGGATGACAGAGACCAAATACTAGACAGACTCCTCACACTAGAGCATAATCAAGGAGTCAGAGACTCCAAATTACTTTACACAATGAAAAATACAGAGGATTTGGATAATAGGAGTAGGAGGAATAACATAAGGATAAGGGGGCTCCCAGAGGCTCAAGGGCCCACAGAAGACCTCAATACCTCTCTCCAAACTTTATTCAATAGAATCCTGCAGAGGCCGGAGAGCACTCACATTCTCCTAGACAGAGCACACAGGGCCTTAAGACCCAGAGGCCTTCCCAGCGAAGCACCAAGAGATATTATCTGCAGAGTGCATTATTATAAGGAAAAAGAAAACATTATGAGGTGTGCAAGAGACATAACTGATATAAGATTCGAGAATGCAAAAATTCAGACCTTGCCTGGATGACACTGAGAGGGAGGCGGGCCCTGAAACCTATAACGCAAGCGCTCCAACAGGCGGGCATAAAATACCGCTGGGGGTTCCCTTTTTCGCTTCAGGCCTCCCACCAGGGAGTGCAGGCTACAATCAACACAGCGGAAGACGTAGAAGAATTCGCGAGACGCTTAGGGCTGCCGGTAGTGGATATACCGGATTGGTACGATCTCCACGAACCGGACGTGACCCAGAGCCTGCAACAAAGGGTACGAGGACGGCTAATGGACGGCAAGAAAAAATCGACCTGGAAAACTCCGCCAGCTTCACCCTTCACTAGGCCCAGGAGACAACCAATAACTCCACGCAGAATCCAATGAAACCAGGACGCTATATACTTATTAACTCTCCACCTGAACTGTTTCCCCATATTAACGGAAGTAGCCAACAACCGTTCCGTAGTAACATGCAGAAAATCTGGCGGTGGTAAATATATCATGACGATACTGTACTGTATTATCCTAGCTGCACCGCATAACGTATGTCCTGCTGTTATTGTACACCCACAGTATGTTGGTTGGCCCTTTTAAGAGATGAATACAAAACCCCAATAACTGTTCCATAGTAACGTACAGAAAAGTGGGCAGTAGTAAATATACAATATCAATAATGTATTGTCTTAACCTAGCTGCACTGCAGCACTTGCTCTGCATAATGCTTGCCCTTCTGACTTTGAGCACTCACAATACGAAGGGCCGTTTTAAGTGACGAATACGAAATCCTAACAACCGTTCCATAATAACACGCAGAGAAGCGGGCGGTGGTAAATGTATCATATCGACACTGTACTGCCTTAACCTAACTGTACCGCAGCCCCTGCTCTGCATAACATATGTCAGGTTGTCTAATTACACTTTTACTAGTTGAATACAAATTAAGTGAAACTGAGCCCAAATGCTATACCAGAAAACATTAAGTGTCAATCCAGCCGCCACGAGGGGAGCAGGGTCCACACTCTCTCCTTTAGATACCTCCAGCTCACAGGCGTAACCACCTCACGAGTTGCAAAACCTGAACCTACGACTCATAAAGTGAGTAGGATATAATACCCCCCCCTCCCCCCCCTTGGACCACTAAGGTCCTGAGCAGTACCGTACTTGAAACTTCTATACTACTCCAGCACTATACCCCTGTCACAGAGGTCACTACAGGACCTAAACAGGGTCAAGTACTGACTCCTATTCCGAATCTATAGGACACCGACTCTACAAAAAGGGTATAAACATAAATGATGTCCCAGGATTCTAATACCCCGAGGGTATCATAACCTCAGTTGGTAGATACCTCGAAGGGCAAAGTAACTATCTTGTGTATGTATATAGTTAAATATTTGTTTTTTGTTTCTTTGCTTATATTTACGTAACTGTTTGCATAAACAATACAAATCGGGAGGTGCCAAGATACGCAACAACCTTGGTACAGCCCCGTTTGAGTATACAGAAACGAACAAAAATACAAACATAGTTGTACACCGAGAGACGGTCACAGGCATCCTTTACACATGGCCACCAATTTGGTCCCACAGACGGGTAGATTACAGATATGCTCTCAGAATGTCAGAGGTCTCAACACTCCTGAAAAAAGAAAAATGGTACTCACTGAACTCGCGTAACAGAAATTAGATGTGGTTTTCTTGCAAGAAACACACCTAAGGGGTCCAATGGCCCCCAAGCTCAAGCACCCCAAATTTCCACATGTATACTACAACAATTATATCAACAGTAAGTCGAGGGGGGTGGCCATATTAATCGGAGCGGATGTTCCCTTTACTTATAAAAATCATATTACAGATCGATCTGGGAGATTCATTATATTACAGGGCTTGGTAGGGACAACTCCCATTACCTTAGTGGCCATATACCTCCCAAATAAAAACCAATGTGGAGCTTTTCGAAACATCATGTCCAAACTCAATCAAGAGACTAATGATACACTAATCATAGGGGGAGATTTTAATATATCATTAGACAGACATAAAGATAGCACATCACATGACAGCAAACACCAAGACAACACAAGGTACCAAATGAGACAAATCATGCATTCGTCGCAACTGACGGATTGCTGGAGGGTACAGCATCCATCGACAAAAGATTTCTCATATTACTCTGCCCCGAATAAATCATACTCACTGATAGATTTTTTCCTGACAGCACATAAAGATCTAGGGCTGATCCAGAATACAGATATAGGTCCGATAACATGGTCAGACCACGCGCCAATATATCTCTCAATAAATATACCATCCCTCCCACACACTAAAGGACAGTGGAAGTTGAACCCCACACTCATACACTCCAAACAGATCGCGGAATCTATAGAGCTCTCTATAAGACAATACTTCCTAGAAAACAACACATCAGACGTTTCCGCCTATACACAATGGGAGGCACACAAAGCAGTAATAAGGGGTGAATTAACCAAATGGGGTGCACGAAAGAAAAAAGAAAGAAATAAACGAATTGACGAACTCACAAATAAAATAAAACAAGTAGAGGATTCCCATAAGAATACCATGTCTGATAATGAATACCGATCCCTGCTCTCACTTAGAACAGAGCTCCACTCATTGCTTCAAGATAAAACGAAAAAAGCCATGCTATGGACGCAACACCTATACTACGCAAATGGAAACAGGTGTGGAAAATTGCTCGCCCAGGCACTTAAAAAGAAACGAACTCTGACATACATACCGAAAATAAAACGGTTAGACGAGTCGGTAGCTCAGACGACAGCAGACATAGCAGAAACATTCAGGGAATATTATACATCCCTCTATAATCTTAGAGATACAGGACCCAGTAGGGAAGACATCAAAAGCTATCTCACAGACAAATTTGATGCGATACTCCCGCCATTGGCAGCGAAATCGCTAGATGAACCATTTACCATAGATGAACTCAGACTTGCCATAAAGCAGACCCCACACAACAAAAGTCCGGGCCCCGACGGCTTCTCGTCCTCTTATTACCAAACGTTCCAAAAAGAACTGGCAGAACACTTCCTAAATGCAATAAACTCCATCCCGCAAAACAATTATATACCCAAACAGGCTCTAGAAGCTACCATAACGTTGCTACCCAAACCAGGGAAAGACCTAGAAAAATGTGCCAGCTATAGGCCAATTTCTCTTATTAATGTGGACATTAAGATCTTCACTAAAATGCTGGCGACGCGGCTAAAACCTTTCCTTCAAGATTTAATCCACCCAGATCAGGCAGGATTCGTTCCCGCCCGCGAGGCAAAAGACAACACCTCCAAAATCATTAACCTAATTCACCTCGCATCCCGAACAACTACCCCGTCCTTATTGTTAGCAATCGATGCTGAAAAAGCATTCGATAGAGTAGACTGGACATTTCTTTTCACCACATTAGAAACTCTGAGATTCGGTACCAGATGGTTGCAATGGATTAAAACGATTTACTCCATACCAACTGCGAGACTGAAGGTAAATGGGCAGCTATCGAACCCCTTTAGAATAAGTAACGGCACCCGACAGGGATGCCCATTATCTCCTCTCCTGTTTATCCTGTCTTTGGAACCCCTCCTGCAAGATATACGTAAGAGACCCGACATACAAGGAATAAGAGCTCAGAGACAGGAATATAAAGTCTCAGCTTTCGCTGATGATCTATTATTCACCCTACGGCAACCATCGACTAGTCTCCCACATCTAGTAACGGCACTACAGACCTACAGTAAATTCTCGAACTTTAAAATTAACGAAGACAAATGTGAAATTTTAAATATTAACACACCCAAACACCTCATTGCAAAACTTAAGAAATCATTTCCATTTCAATGGGCCAAGCAGAGCATTAAATATCTAGGGGTTCAAATAACCAACTCACACGAGACGCTATACAAGGCTAACTTTCCGGGATTGATAGCTGAGATAACGAGGGACTTAAACTCCTGGGACAAACCCATTTCAGGTGGATGGGGCGAATCAACATCATAACAATGAACATACTCCCTAGAATCCTCTACCTATTAAACACGATCCCAATACATATACCATCAAACTTCTTTCACACAATACAAACACTATTCATATCCTTCATCTGGGCCAAGAAGCGACCACGCATAGCCTTCCAACTACTAACGAAATCTAAAGAGAAGGGAGGATTAGGGTGTCCAAACATACTGAACTATCATAAAGCAATACACCTGGGGAGGATACTGGAATGGTCCAAACCGAACTCCAAAAAAGCTTGGGTCAATATTGAACAAACACAAACTCAAACCCCCCTAAAAGCCTTACCATGGATGATAACCACGCTCAGGGGTAAGACAATGAACGACCTCCCCACAATAACTGCTACCCTACAGACATGGAAAAAGATACACCAATACCCAGAACTTACACCTACCCCATCCCCCAAATACCCGATATCTCACAACCCCCTATTCCCCATGGGAAAAGGAGGAATACTAAAAAAAACACAATCCTCCCAAACCACAAACAGTTACACGACATTAGGTGACTTAATAACTGACGGGGGACTAAAATCGTTGGAAGAGATCACAG